TCACAGCTGACAACGACAACATGATGCGGGCCTTGATCGGACCTCATAGGCACCCCACTTGGTAGAGAGGCGACTGCCCAGCCTTAGGCATTTAGGGCTGCGAAAGTTGGGCTGCTCACGGTCAGCCTTAATTTGATCACAAAGGGGCTATCCGCTCGCACTACACTGCACAATTCGGCCGGACTGCAACCTCTTCCGCTCTGCTGGGTTCTGTGCCAACACATTCATCAAGTGTGCACAAAAGTGACAGCCGATGCCCCAATCGCCTCCTCGGCGAGCTGGTATCTGGCCCAGCCAAACTGTCCGCTGCTGCTTGCCCCAAGACGTGTGGGTGAGGCTTCCGGCTTTGCTCCAAACTTCCTGGAAGCGAAGGAACCTGACTGACATGTTGGGATTGTATGCAAACGGACGAGATCAAGTCGAGAATGCCGGAAGCAAGAACCAACCAGCAACTGCAACATAGTCAAGTAGCAAGTCTGCCACAAACAATAACGATCCAACAGAGAGAGAGAGAGAGAGAGATAGAGAGAGAGAGAGAGAGAGAGAGAGAGAAAAAGAGAAAGAGAGAGAGAGAGAGAGACGGAGAGCACGAGAAAGAGAGAGAGAGAGAGAGAGAGAGAGTGAGAGAGAGAGGGCGAGAGAGATAGAGAGAGAACGAGAGAAAGAGAGAGAGAGAGAGACAGAGAGAGAGAGAGAGAGAGAGAGAGAGAGAGAGAGCGAGAGAGCCACGGAGAGAGAGAGAGAGAGAGAGAGGGAACCAAGAGAGCAATATGATAAAGCACCAAAAAGAAACATTAAATAAAATGACATGAATGTAATGTATGCATGCATGGCAGGCATGTAAGTATGTATGTATGTAGTATGTCTAGTTGCCCGGTTCAGAAACCTTATGAAGACTAACCTTTAACATTAAAAAAATGTATTTTTTTTACTTTCTAAATTTAATTTAAAAATAATATTATTTAAAGGCTTTCTGAACCGGGCAGCTTGCATCGGCTGCATTTCTCGTCGCCACCACGATGGCGAGCCAAATGCTCTGCATCGCTCTCAGTCGCGAGACCAACATCGCCACATCCCTTTCCGGTGTCGTCGTCGCCCTCCTGAGCCAGGCCTTCGCCGGACTCAAGCCGAAGCTTCTTCGGGGCCGCAGGCACGGATCCTTGTGGACCTCGTCGTTTTTTTGCCGGCGTCCGGTCCTGCTTCCGGGAGCGTAGTCCGAACCGAGCGGCAAGACCACGCAGGGTGTGGCTACCCACTGGCATTGAAATCCTGCGGCCTTGGAGCCTTGAGCCTGGGAGCCTGAAGCGACCACGCAGCACTTACAATGACAAGCAAACGCAACCGTGGCAACCGTGCTAAGACTGGAACTGAATCAGACTCTGCAACTGGTCCAACCGACTAACCCGAGACCCGCGCCTCCGGCTTCCCGTTCGATCCGACAGCGAGCAGCTGCCTGGCAGACGTGAGGGTATTACCCCGAGTCAAGCAGCCCGAATGGCAAAACACTGCGAACTCCTATGCACACTGCGGCGGTTTGTTTCGCTGGGAGTCGGCAGGGTGACCCAGTCTAAATCTGATTCTGTACTGCTCGGAGCAGGCTTTCCCGAATTTTGCACCCGGCCTCACCTAAGTAGAGTCAGTCTATGACGCCAACTCCGAGTGGCCTAATTAGAAAACGCATGCCATTCCGGTCCGTCATTAATGACGAATTTAATGGCTACTTTGCCCAGCGATGGGCAAGACGGCACGCTAATGGGGCTGTGGCACCCTTCCTCGAGCACTTCTTTGCTGACTGCGGTCTCACGACTTTCTGCCAACGCTTTGCCAAAGCTGACATGCCTTCAGCCTTCTGAGCCTTTAGAGCCTTTGGAGCCTTTGGTGCCTTTGGAGCCTTCTGCGCCGATGCAGCCTTGGGCGCCTTGGGAGCCTTCCGTGGCTTGCCATGGCGCTTGCGGCATTTCGCTGCTGCGCCGAGCACAACTGAAGCAGTTATGCTTGGTGCAGCAACCGTGCTGCACAAGGCTGTCGGCCGGGAAGCTTTGGGCAGGCTCCAGTTTACCAGCGCAAGCGCAAACTTCATTGCCACGGCCACAATCTGCACATGCATCGTGTTGCCGCCCATGCTGGCGAGCTCCTTGTCGGTCACTCTGCTGGGAAAAACCATACGGTGAATTGGAAAACCGTGCAGCATGACTTTTTCAAGCGGGCTAATGATCCTTCCAGCTCGTGCGGATACCAATACGGCCCCAGGTGTAACAGTAGGCAGGGAGCCATCGGTCCGCACACGGGCTCGGTTCACATTCTGGGATACATCCGCGACAAGCTCCTGACTGCCTGCATGCTTTGTGCAAATGATGTCCCAGGCATCACGCTCACGCGGCAAATGCAGGAACAACGTGTCTGCGCAGCAGGCGACTCCGCTCTCAGTGCAAGGCCTCCGACTCTCACTCTTCAACCGGCTGCCCTGCTGCATTGAAGCTTTGCACATCTTGTGCAATTCTTTCCACTTTGGAGCATGGGAGCCTGGAGCCTGGGAGCCTGGGAACCCACGGTTGGAAGCTTGCGACCACTTCCGTTTGCGGCTTTCCTGGTACTGTGCCACAGCAGGGTGGCTCGCCGGTAGCAGTCTATCCAAAAGATCGACTGCGTCTCCGGAAGCAACTGAATCCTGGACTTCCGCCCAAGCCTCACGAAGCCAGCACGACATGTCCTTTGGCGAGATGAGGCTCACATCTTGCCGGACCCCGATGAAGTAGTACCTAGGCCTCTGGATGGGCTCCTGTAGCTCGGCAGGGTTCATCAAAATCATTTCGACATGATAGCCTGTGGACCTGAGTGCCGCCAGAACCTTTGCAGAAACACGCTTGATGCCTGACACATTCTCCAGCACGAAGCACGAGGGCCGCACAAGTTGGATGCGTGCAACGACCCCATAGAATATTTGAGCCTTGACTTATTGTGCAGCAGGCTGAACGGCTTGCAGCTGAAGCCGGCAATGTACAGGTGAACGAACGGTGCCTTGTCAGCATCCAGGACACTGTGGAACAATACCGAGGGCTTGGTATTAGCCTCGATAACCGACCGAGGACCAGCAGCCACCTCACTCCCAAACAAATGCTGGTGCGGGATGCCGAGCTCCCTAAGGCCATGGATCGGTGCATCAATGCCACTGCAATCAGTTCCCACCAACAATCTTTGTGGAAGCTTGGCCGCCCCGAGACCAAAACGGGCATGAGTCGCACCGATGCTGGCATCGGTGGCACTCTGAAAGCCGGACCCCCAGCCATCCAGCCACTGCCTCAAAGTGCCTGGAATCATGGCGGCAGCGACTCTACTGGGCCTTGGAGCCTGAGAGCCTGGGTGCCTGGGTGCCTGGAGCCTTGAATGCAACGTTTAAGTTGAATGCTGCACTTGCTGACAACTTCAAACTTCGCGACACGTGACTGGCACTGGGACAGAAGCAACGGCGATGATCCCACCAGACCAGTACCCCTCAATTGACCCTTGGATGCACACAAAACACCCTTAGATGCAGTGCCTGGCCTGATCGTTGCATCCAAGGGTCATCCGGGTGCATTGAAGGGTCCTTTCAAGTTTTGGTGTGTGCTTTGCTGAAGGAATACACGTGGTACAGGGTGTGGTTTAGGATTTAGGTGGCTTGGTGTCGAGGGCTTCGAGTGTAACCTGGGTTTCAGCAATTGACCCTTGGATACACCCAAAACACCCTTAGATGCAGTGCCTGGCCTGATCGTTGCATCCAAGGGTCATCCGGGTGCATTGAAGGGTCCTTTCAAGTTTTGGTGTGTGCTTTGCTGAAGGAATACAGGTGGTACAGGGTGGGGTTTAGGATTTAGGTGGCTTGGTGTCGAGGGCTTCGAGTGTAACCGGGGTTTCAGCAATTGACCCTTGGATGCACACAAAACACCCTTAGATGCAGTGCCTGGCCTGATCGTTGCATCCAAGGGTCATCCGGGTGCATTGAAGGGTCCTTTCAAGTTTTGGTGTGTGCTTTGCTTAAGGAATACAGGGGGTACAGGGGGGCTTTAGGATTTAGGTGGTTTGGTGTTGAGGGTTTCGAGTGTAACCTGGGTTTCAACAAAATTATCATCGACGAGCAACAATGTTTGAAGACTTGTATCAATTCAATCTTTGTGGAAGCTTGGCCGCCCCGAGACCAAAACGTGCTGGCATCGGTGGCACTCTGAAAGCCCGAACCCCAGCCATCCAGCCACTGCCTCAAAGTGCCTGGAGACGCACGGAGGGCTGGTAGACATGCAGCCTCAGGGGCTTGGAGCCTGAGAGCCTGAGAGCCTGGGCGCCTGGGGGCCTGGGGGCCTGGAGCCTTGAATGCAAAGCTTGAATTCTGCACTTGCGCAACTTCAGACTTCGCGACGAGTGACTGGCACTGGGACAGGAGCAAAGCCGATGATCCGACCAGTAGAGCCTCCCCCTCATTGCAGGAACAATCTGACGGGACAACAGGATCCCTGGCCCAGATTTTGCCCCAGCTGGCGCATTAGCCCATTGGCCCAGCTGTCATCTGCCACTGCCTTGGCAGGTTGGCCTCAAGGCTGTTCCTGCGGGCCGACACCCGGCCAACGGTGCCCACAGTGACGTAACGGCAGCATACACTGTGTGGGTAAGGCCAAAATGCACACTCTATTAGGCCTTGGAGCCTGAGAGCCTGGGTGCCTTGGTGCCTGGAGCCTTGAATGCAACGCTTAAGTTGAATGAAGCACTTGCTGACAACTTCAAACTTCGCGACGAGTGACTGGCACTGGGACAGAAGCAAAGGCGATGATCCCACCAGACCAGTACCCCTCAATGACCCTTGGATGCACACAAAACACCCTTAGATGCAGTGCCTGGCCTGATCGTTGCATCCAAGGGTCATCCGGGTGCATTGAAGGGTCCTTTCAAGTTTTGGTGTGTGCTTTGCTTAATACAGGGGGTACAGGGGGGCTTTAGGATTTAGGTGGTTTGGTGTCGAGGGTTTCGAGTGTAACGTGGGTTTCAGCAATTATCGACGATCAAGAACAGGACATTGATTGGAGTGCGGGGTTTAGGGTTTACTTAATTGTTTTATATATTAATCTAATATATTTAAAATTACAAATACAATATTTTTAAACATTATTTTAAATTTAATTAAAACTTTAACCCTAAACCCTAAACCCTCATGGGGGCTGTTGGGGGTTGAAGCCTTTACTGGAGTGGGCATTTTAGGGGTACCAGGCTTTAGGGAGCGGGGTTTGAGGCAGGGACGTCGGCCAGGAAGGGCTATGGGCAGGGTTTTAGGCTTACGGCGGGCTCATAGGCTTTGAGCCGAGTACCGTAAAATGGTGATAATCTTAAAGGGTTTAGGGTCTGGAATTTAATAGGGTCCAGGGTTTAGGGTTTAGACGATTTATGGCCTCCTTTAAACAAAAACGTTGCTAAACCCCGCCACTACCTCTTCTTTTAATTAATTTGTGAGGGGTTTGCCAAATTTTTCAAAATCCTTCGCAGCCTTGGAGCCTTGGAGCCTAGGGGCCCTCGCGGACGCGTGACGCGTGCGTGACAATGTGTTTCTGTCACGCTATACGCGCATCAGTGCCACTTCGAGCAGGAGCTCTGGATTGGCCGTGTGGAGCAACACCAAGTCCAGCTCTTTACCTGGCCTTGCGAGCTCATGTACGCGCTTCTGTCTGAGGGTCCGTGGACCGGTGCGCCGGCTCACAGCCGCTGCGCAGTCTCCATGCTGCCATGTGCAGCCCCAGTTTTTGCCGCGACCGGCAATTGTACTCGTCGTATGGCCTCCAGGATTGGGAACGCAGACGCTGCATTGTCCCGTGGAGTTGTTGCCATACCACGCTTAGCTCGTCTGATTCGAGCATCGTGTTCATAGGGCTCAGCCCCGCGGCGATGCCCGATACGGGACATGCCTTTGTGTGAAATCCGGTTTAGGATTTAGGGGTTTAGGGGTTTAGGGGTCTAGGGTTTGGGGTTTAGCGGTTTAGGGTTTTAGGGGGTTTAGGGGGTTTAGGGGTTTAGGGGTTTAGGGTTTAGGGTTTAGGGGTTTAGGGGTCAGGCTTTACAGGGGTTTAGGGTTTTTTTGATGCGATGGCAGAGGGGTTTAGGGTTGAGGGGATTAGGGTTAAGGGTTTCGGGGCTAAGGGTTGCAGGGCAACTCCGAAGCAACAGGGTTTAGGGTTTGTAAGGATTTAGGGTTTAAGGTTTGTAAGGATTTAGGGTTCAGGGTTTGTAAGGATTTAGGGATAGGGTTTGTAAGGACTTAGGGTTTAGGGTTTGTAAGGAATTAGGGTTCAGGGTTTGCAAGGATTTAGGGTTTAAGGTTTGTAAGGATTTGGTTTAGGGTTTGTAAGGATTTAGGGTTTAGGGTTTGTAAGGACTTAGGGTTTAGGGTTTGTAAGGACTTAGGGTTTAGGGTTTGTAAGGATTTAGGGGTTTAGGGTTTGTAAGGATTCAGGGTTTAGGGTGTGGCTTTAGGGCTTAAACACTCGCAAGGGTTTAACCCTAAACCCTTAACCCTAGGCCCTAAACCCTAAAGCCCAAACCCTAAATCCTTACAAGCCCTAAACCCTACTGAACCCTAAGTCCTTACAAACCCTAAACCCCAAATCCTTGCAAACCCTGAACCCTAAATCCTTACAAACCCTAAACCCTTACAAACCCTAAACCCCTAAATCCTTACAAGCCCTAAACCCTAAATCCTTACAAACCCTAAACCCTAAGTCCTTACAAACCCTAAACCCTAAGGCTTGCAAAGCCTGAACCCTAAGTCCTTACAAACCCTAAACCCTAAATCCTTGCAAACCCTGAACCCTAAGTCCTTACAAACCCTAAACCCTACGTCCTTACAAACTCTAAACCCTAAATCCTTAAATCCTTATTACAAACCTCCCAGGTTAAGTTATTAAGACAGAACTGAGCCCAAGCAATCATACCACTAATGTGCATCCAAGGGTGGCTTCAACTTAGTAAGTTGAAGCCACCCTTGGATGCACACAAAACACCCTTGGAAGGCCTGCTCGGCGGCATCTGCGCATCCAAGGGTGCCGGAGGCGCATCCAAGGGTCCTGGGGTCGTATGGTATTTAAGTAAGGATTTAGGGTTTAGGGTTTGTAAGGATTTAGGGTTTGGGGTTTGTAAGGATTTAGGGTTTAGGGTGTGGCTTTAGGGCCACTCAAGGTTCCAAGGCCTAAACCCTAAATCCTTGCAAACCCTGAACCCTAAATCCGTACAAACCCTAAACCCTACGTCCTTACAAACCTTAAACCCTGAGGCTTAACTGACAGACTCAGATTATTTTAATTATTAATAAATTATTATGTTAAATGTTAAAACCCTTAACCCCCCAATCCTGGCTGGCCTGAGCACGCCAGCCGGGCCGGGATGAAGATCGCCTGCCGCGGGAGGGGGGGGGGTTCTGGTGTTTATCGGGCTGGGGGGTGCTACTTGACAAGCTGACTGAAGAAAGCACTTTTTTTGCATGTGCGCTCGCTGTCGGCCACACTGCTGGAGGGGCAGGCAACATCACTAGACTTGACGTTGCTCTGCACATGCCAGGATTCATCTGGAAAGCTGGACAATGCCAGGATTCCGTCGTGGCTGGCTGGCTCATGAAATCATTGGGCACAAGCTGCTTGTCCCTCTGTGAGTTCGGCCAAGATCCTAAGCCTAGGAGCCTTGGGAGCCTGGGAGCCTTGGAACCTTGAACTTGAGTGAAACAAAGCTGTAGTACATTTACACATTATCATATTAATTCATTGTATTGTCATTAATATAAATCATGGCTCCTCATGACATCCCAGCCTTAGAACCTCGGAGCCTAGGGGCCTGGGGATCGCCTGTGCAAAACATAGCCAGCCAGCAATGAAACAGTCAGCAGGCTTCACTGATCAGGGTTCCTGGTGCCTGACCATGTCATAGCCAAGTCGACCTGTCGCCCCCATTTACCGCACCGGCAGAGGGTGACCGTGTACGGCCTGCCAATGGCATCCAGGTGCCGCTGAAACTTCATCACCAAGGGCACCCGCTTCCACAGGATCACGCGCTCCTGGGATGGAAGGTTATCAGTCAAGTTAATACTAAACTTTTAAAGTACATGTTGTCGCCCAGGCGCCAGAGTGTAGCCATCCAAGAAGAGCCCGAAGTCGTCCCCATCGCCCAGGTAGGCGAACGTCACCTCCCTCTTCTTCGAGAAGCGGAAGTCCTCCATGGTCTCTTCCAGATCGCCCTTGATCACCTCACAGAACGGCATCTTCGTCTCCGTCACGAACTTCTTCGAAGCGCAAACCGTCGCTGGGATCAGGCCG